GAAAGCGACATGTTCCATTATTATTGCTTTTTATTTGGGATTGTCAATGACGCAAGCAATTGAAATGGCTGTGCGTGTGTTTGTGTGAGTGTGTGTCTTGCTTCCTTGCATTGGGCAGGGAAATTAGAATTGTGTATTTTTAAAAAGGTGACCCAAATACAGCTTCCAGCACAAAAATCCTCAGGAGAAGCAAACATACGCACACATCCATACATACAAATACCGACAAAAATACATGCACATTCGTACATATTTATGTAGAAATTAAAAAAGCAACAACAAAAAAATAAAGAAAACAGCTGCCATCGTCTGCCTGTGCCATATCCATGTCCACCCGCACCGCCCATTTTAAACGAACATACACAAGCAGCAGCAGCAGAAGCAGCAGTGACGAACAGCAGCGAAAGAGGATCGGCTCGTTTCGTTTCGTTCAGTTTCGGCTGTGTACCAACAACAAAAACAAAGGCAAAGAAACAGCAGTGACAGCTTCGTTCGCTGCTTTCTCTTGCTGGGGTTGGCTGGGGCCGCTGCTCAGGGAGAATTGACAACGTCGCTGCCTGTGTGCATATTATTGCATGTGTGTGTGTGCATGTGTATTCTCCTTATTGCTCTCCTGGCGCGTCCGTGTTAGTGTGTGTGTGTGTGTGTGCGTCGACGTTTGGCCCCTTGATAAAATTGTGTGTGCGCTACTTGCTCTTCGCCACCTTAGCTGCAGTCGTCATCGCAGTCGCAGTCGTCGTCGCAGCCGCGCACTCAATTAAGCTTATCGCGCACTGAGAGTGTATGTGTGTGACTGTTTATGTGAGTGTATAAGTGCGTGCCTGTGTTGGGGATATTTGCGCTATGCGCTTTAGAGGTGACTTTCCTCTTGTGCGCGCTCCTTGACGCAAGTTGAGGAAACAAAAAAAAATATCTGCTTGTTATTGAATTTGTCTGCCTGCCAGTCGGCTAGTTGGTTTATGTATATACATATATATATATATATATATGTGTGTGTGTGTGTGTGTTGGTGTCGTGTGCAAAACGCAGCAGCAGAAGCGACCGCTTTCGTACAAAAATCCTCTTTGAGAGGATTAAATATATACACACAGCTTTTGCTTATTGTCGAGTGCTCTTTGCTCTGTGCGTGCGTGCTGCACAGTGTCGCTTATGTGATTTGTGCCGGCACGAAAGCCAAATAGACAAACATCCTAATTGACAGCCCTTGGATTGCCTGGTTTTGTACCAGTGTGCACCCCTCCACCCCCTCCCCCTCTCCCATGACAGTGCTAGTGTTCCATAAACGGACAATGTCCCCAGCCCAGAGAGCTTAAGGGTAGCCGCGACGGCGACGGCGACGCCGACTGCGACGCTTTCAATTACATTTCATTTGCATTTCGTAGCTGCTTATTTATATTCGTGAGTGTGTATTTATTTTGCTGATTTTGCCTTTTCTTTTGCAGACACACACACAAGCACAATCTTAAGTCCTCAGTTGCCCCGTTTAGGTTTTTGCCATTTCCTTTTTGCGCACATGCAAAATAGGAAACGATTTTTTAGCCTGGGCAGACACACTGCACACATGCACACACACACACACACTTACAACAGGGCGCATACCTGACTCTCGCGGACATTGGACATTGGACGGCGACGCTGGCAGCGAAGCCTACGGCGTTAATTGAATTAAAGCGCTTACAAAATAAATAGGCAGCAGACGGATGTGTCGAACTCTTTCGCCTCCGCTCCCCCCTATATTCCTCCCTCTCTCTTTCCCTCTCTCTGCCTCTTTCATGTGTGGACACAAAAAGCAGGCCACGTGTCGAAATCCTTTTAGAATCTTCTGGCCCACTTCCCTTGCGAGAGAAAAAAAATCGAAGAGGCAGCGAAAAATTTATGAATTTCGAAAATGTTATTCGCTGCTTTGTTGCTATCACTTCTTTTGCTTTTGCTACATTCTTTTCAGCGTTTTGTTGCTCTTTTTTTGTATTCTTCGGTTTATTTTTTTTTTCTTTTTTTTTTTGCTCAATTGCAAAACATATTTTGGTCACTGACCTTTTCTTTTATTTTGCCTTTTTTGTTTGTGTTCCACTTTCTGATCTGTTGCTTCTGCTGCTGCTGTTTTTTCCGCTTCTTTTTGCTGTTGTTGTTATTGCTTTTCTTGTAACTGAAGCTTTTCCTTTGGCAATTTGTTGGCTATTGAGCAACTGTTAAGATGAGAGCTCAAAAACCACTCAAAAAAGTGCAACAAAAAATAAAACACAAAACCAAAAAAGAATTGCGTAGATAAGAAACCCTGAAGCCTTAAAAAAAAATACATACATACATATTAATGCATGTAAATAAATATATATATTCACATACACACATACAATTGCATGTTTATTTGCGGCAAAAATTCTTTGCGAGTTGATGATGAGGAGCAGCTTGAGATAAAAGCGCAGCACGTCAAGTGATAAAAATCAGAAGCGCATTCGACAAACAATGCAACAGTTAACTAAAGAATTCAGTCGAAATTCATGCCCAAAACATGAAATTCACAAAAGTTGCAGCAGCAGAAGAAGAAGAAGACGACGACGACGACGATGTGATGATGAAAAAGAAGATATGGTTTTTGCGGTTTAACGCGTATTGTCAATAATTTTTGGAGGTTTCTTTTGAGAATCCATTACAGTTGCGCTTGTGTAATACAAACAAAATGAATACAATAATTAAGAAAAAAAAAGAAATTAAAATAAAAAGGAACTTATTGAAATGCAGGAAATTATTGTTGAAAAGCAAGAATATCAATAATAAAAACACGCGTCATGAAAATAAAAGAAGAAACTAGCAGCAGCTAGACAAGTGCGACAAATATATATATATATATATATAGAGAGAGAGAGAGGGAGGGGGAGCGCATGTGTGAACAATAATATTTTGTTGAGTAGGCGATTGCGTATACTTTATTTTAGATTTTTTTTTGTTTTGGTTTTTTTTTGTTAACCGTTGTTTTGAATGGTTTTTGTTATTATTTATTTTTGTTTTTTTTTCTTGTCTTTTGGCTGCAGCCAAACAGTAGCAACAGTTGAAAAGTGTTAGTCATGCTTGGTGTCTCTTTTTCTCTCTCTTTTAATTGCTCTTGATCGCCGGCTGAACAACAGTTATAATTTGACGAGAGCACAAAAAGCTTTTTCAGAGAGTCGCTCTCTCGTCTATCGCTCTCTCGTCTATCGCTCTCTCGCTCTCGCTTATTTTTATACATGTATGTATATATATTGTTTTCGCTATTTCATTAACAAAACATCATCAGCCGCACATATTTATGTGTGATTAGTTATTATTATTATTGTTGTTGTTTGTGTTGGTTTCCTTCGGCGATTTGTGCTTACTGCAATATATATTATTGTGTATGTGTTTGTGTGAAGTGGGTTAAGCTGACAAAAAGGCAACTGGAGATTGTAGAGATTGGCATTTTTTGTTTTTTCATATGCGATTTTAATGTGATTTGCATAATTTGTGTGTGCGAGTGTGTGTATGTGAGTGTCTGTCTGCGTGAGTGAGTGTGTGTGTGGCCCAAGCGCACAGGTGTTAAAGCTGTCGTGCGCCAGCAGCGGAAGTGGCGACGCTGATGGGAATTGCAGTCGCAAGAGAGAGAAAGAGAGAGATAGTGGGGGGAGGGGGGGAAGAGAGAAACACACAACTATGTGTGTGTAGTAGTGTGTGTGTGCATATCTATGCATGTTATTATGCTGCTCAAAACGTAGATCATTCACTGTCTCTCTCTCTCTCTCGCTCTCTCTTACACACTCGCTCATTCAACGAGTCCATTCAGAAAAATTGCTTGCTGCTGTTGCAGTCCCAAGCCCAGGGGCAGCAGGCAGTGTGGCAATGGGAATTGGAGAAATGGAATTGGATTTGAAATTGGAATTGAAATGTGTCAGTTACTGCACGCGAATTGGGGATCTATTTGGACCACCACCCCCACCCATCCACACACACACATGCACACACACACACACACACACAGACGAACACACTCCGAAAAGGGGTGCGGCTGACGACTGACGAGCTGCTGGCTCCGATCTGATCCGATTCCGATCGTTTGTGGGGATTGTTGAGCTGACTGACTGTCTGTCTGTCCGTCTGACTGCCAGTAGCGAAAACAAAAAGGAAATGGGAGACTGAAAATGACAAAGATCACTGAAGCAAAACCAAACAGCAACAGCAGCAGCAACAACCCAATTTGTATCTATGTATCTATATAATATGTACAGCGACTAGTTTTGTTGCATGAGATACAATATGCCCGACTGCCTTCGCTGTAGAAATTGATGCATGTAAATCGACTCGTGGCTAGGTATATATATATTTTGTTGTTGCTTTTTTTACTATCGATCCATTTAGTGAGGTTATATCTAACAATTGTTCAAATTTCATATTTAATTTTAGTATCTCAAAGTATTAAAAAGTATATATCCCAAATATGAACATTTGGTTTTCTGAGCTGTTTCCGATAGTGTTTCAAAATAGAAGAATTTTGAAAAAAAATGTGCGAATTTGAAATTTACTTTATGCTTTGCATAACAATTCTAAAGACACTTTTAATTTCTGACTGAACTCGGTTTGTAATATCCTACAAATTCATATTTTTTTAAATAAACAAAGATTTAGCCTTCAACAGTTTTTTACAAATAAAAATAAAAATAGTTTTAGTCTAGAAGTTTTTGGAGCATCTTTAATTGGTAACAAAAATCTGCTGATTCCAAAAGTATTTTAAGCCAAAATATTAGCATTTTATTACGAAGAGTGGTAAATCATAACATATAATATCAAAACTGAATCAAAAGCTGCAAGATATAAAATCGGCTTTCTTGAATTTGTGAATATATATATATATATATATAGTAGATCTAAGAAAAATTCGCAATAGAAATGTTGAAATGTGAAACTCTGAAATCCGACTGAATATGAACGATGAATAACATATTCAGTCGTATTCATATTCATATTCGTATTCCTATTCATAGATTTGTACTTACCAATTCTTGGAAGCTTTTGTAATCCGCTCGTAGTTGTCTATTATTATTATTATTAATATTATTGTTGCTGGTGTTGTTATTGTTGTTGCAATGCGGTTTTTCTTTTGTTATGGAAAGTTTTGACGAAATATCTGAAAAAGCACAAACACTGTAAAAAGCACTTCTTATTTTTGTATTTTTTCTTATGTATTTTTATGTTATATGCAAATTTCAAACATAGTCAACAATTGCAAATCACGGGAAAGAGTTGCAAATTGTAAATAACTTTGATGGCGAAATCAAAAGCGGAATTTCAAATAACTAAATATACAAATACAATTCACAGCTGAGCTGAGTTGAGCTGAGCAAATTCGCCGCGTGCAAGCAACGACGGCGCACGAACCTCCAATCAGAACTGAAACGTAGGGATGTCGACGCAGACGCCGTCGCCGTGTTGTCGTTGTCCCTGAATGTTAATGTTTGTTGCTGTTGCTGTTTGCTGTTTGCTGCTGTTGCTGTCGCTGCTGCTGTCTCTGCCGCTGCCAGCGACTTCGGGCACGAACGAGACGGACGAGAACGAGAGCACGAGCACGATCACGAAAACCGAACTGAGCTAGCTGTCAGGGCGGCAGAATTATGAACTCGACCAGAGGGGCAGGTGGTGTTGGGCGGAAGAGTTGGATGGAGCCGATGTGAGTGCGTCTCGCGGTGTGTGTGTGAGTGTGTTTGTGTGTGTGTATATATGTTTGAGGGGCTGCCACGACGACGAACACGCGCGCCTGTTTTACGACGTTGTTGGTGTTGTTTCGATGTATCGATGTCGCCGCTGCTGGGTGGATAATATAATATCGTCTCCGCTCTGCTCCCGTTTCGTGTGTGTGCTTTTTTTAAATGGCGGCTTTCAAATCTAACAAATGGCCGAGCGATAGAGCCGAGCCGAGCCGAGCCGAAGCCTTCTTGTGTTCGCTAGTATGACAAATAATATGAGAAGAAAAAAAAACTTAAATAGACCGAAAGACACACAAAAAAAGACGTTAAGTGGGATGTTGACGGACGCGGACGAGCGGATGAAATGGAATGGAATGAGCGTTTGAATTGCTTGGCGGCCAGTAAAACCAGCCAAAGTGCCCAAACGCCGCAGTCGGCCCAGAGAAGGCGAAAATAGCGTGAGAGCGACAGAGCGTGAGAGCGTGAGAGTGTAAGAGTGTGAGAGCCAGCGAGAGAGAGAGAGAGAGAGAGCCGCAGCCGCAGCCGCCAGCAACTTGACATTTTGACTTGGCGCTCACCAATACAAATGCAAAAACAAACATATGCTCCGCGATAGCAAAACGCAGTCGCCGCTGCGTTGGCGCTCTTCTCTGCTGCTGCTCACCCTTACGCTCGCGACTCTACACTCTCCACTCGTGTGCTCTCTGGCCTGATAAGCGCATGTCGAAATCATATGAGCGCCAGCGCCAGCGGCAGCGGCAGCGCAGCTCGCTACCCATTTTGGCTTCCTTCGCTCGTTCGCTATGACCTGCCTAACCCCCCCATCCCTCCCCACTTCACTCTTTGCTCTCGTTGTGTGCATTTTCGTGTTGTCGCTGCCTCAGCGTATTACGAAATATGACAACAATGCAGTTTTGTCTGCTCGTCCTCGTTTCGCTCTGCCGCCATAGCGTCGACGTTGCTGCTACCGTCGATGCTTCTTCTTGTTCTTCGATAGTTACTGCATGCTCAGCATAAAACGGTTCCCACTCTCTCTCGCTCTCTCTTCCAGTCTCTGTCAACAACATTTTGCTCTCCCTCTCTCTCTCTTTGCAAGTGGGTGGCTCTTCGGCTGTTGTCGCTCTGTTTGTTTATTTCTTCTCGCATCACTTGCAAATCGATTGCATCTTGATGAAGTTTTTGCCCGACAAAATAGAAACAAACGCTATAAATAGAAACAGGGAAATTTCTAACGTGGCGCATTCCGCGTGCAGCAGCGGTAACTACAACCATTTCGATAAATGCCATCCCATTAAAAGTAACAGAAAAAATAGAAAAAAAAACCAAAACGGGTTTGATCAGAAGCGTGCCCCGTTCGCTGGCCGGGCGTGCGTCTAACTGAAACCGAAATCATTAAACTTTTCCCCGCTGCTGCCACTTGAGCTTGCAGCTTAATGTATGCGCATATGAAATGCTGAAAATGGGGGAACCCTAGGAACCCACTTCACAGTCATTGGCATTCCGATATTTAATATGTTTACTGGGCGTAAACCCAACAGCAACAACAACAACAGCAACGACAACAACAAAGATCATCCCTAGACAAAATAAATATTAAAAGGATCATTAACTGATCGTTAATCAAAAAATAAATAAAAATAAAAACACTCGGAAATTCGAAATTTACCATAGCAAACAATAGCCTTTTCGACAGCAATGATATCATTGGAAATATATTGTTTTACATGCTGCTAACGATAGCTGTAATTGCTCTACGAATTTTGACGTCCAACTGCCTTTATAGCTTAGAAAGGTTAACTCAATCTAGCTAGATGCATCGCCAAGCAAATAATTACACTGTGCAACAGCATTTTTGGGCTTACACTGCACAGATCGAGTTCCGTTTAACTTTTAATGTGAAACAAAAATTTCGTTTACTTTTTTATCAGTCTTTGAGCCAAGTGAAATTAAAGATCTCAAATAGTTAACAGAAAAGAAATGGAATTTATTTTGATTTTTATTTTTAATCTTTTCTAACACTTCTTTGATTATATCTAATCGATTAAGGATGAGTATATTAAATAATTTGATGGTAACTAAATTGAAATGATAAATTTGGGTTTATAGGGCATCAAGAACTGTACAAACTCGCATCTAAACTAATGACAATATGATAATATATATGATTTAATTATGACGATTACGTGGTGAATCATTAGAATGATTACTCAGAACGCGAGGGCGCTTCCAGTTAGACAGAAACACAGACACACAGACACTGAGAAAGAGACACACACAGACACCCTGTATAATCGCGGGTAAATTTGCATTAAATAGCTAAAAATTCTAATTGGCATGGGGCAAACTCAAATGGGAATAAAGTTCCTGGGTATTGCCTTGGTTTATTGGTTCTGCAACTGGGTTAACCGAGTTTCTTGGAATGAGGGGGAGGCGGAGGGGGGGGGACGCCTTGATCAACAGGTTTGTGGGCTGGCGAGCTTGTTTTTTCCCCGCCACTGTTATAAATTAATTGCTTAATTGTTGTTGTTTGCTGCTGCTGCTGCTGCTGCTGCTGCTGCTGTTGTGGTTGCTGTTATGCGCTGCTTTAGCGGCATCATTTGATACAAAATTTGCTTTTAATTAAAAAACTCTCCAAGCGGACAACAACAGACGTGCGAAGGCGTCTCTCTCTCGCTCCCTCTCGCTTCCTCTCCCTCTCTCCCACTCAGCGCTCTCTTTGTTTGGTTATAGATAATGTGTGCATGTGTGTGTCTGTCTATGTGTGTGTGTGTGTGTTTGTAGAGATCAACCTTCGATGCCTGTGCGTAGGGGTTTTCGTTTTCCTCTCGACAATTCCCGCCAAGCACCACCCCAGCACTCCCCCCGCGCCAACGACTTGCTTCCCCTTTGGCACCCGCACATATGGCGCTCGTGGCATTTTGTTGTATTTATTAGACCAAAGTCGTGCACTTCGTTAACGCTAACCGAATCTGAATTCGAATCCGAATCTGAATCCGTTTGCGTTTGCTGGCGACTAAAAATCGAATCAGCTTTGCTGCGTGGGATTCTTAAATGCGTCGCAGTCGTCGCTGTTTTCACTCACGATTTCGATAAGTCGAATACCCTAGAATACCCTGTAGATCAGGGCAGCTCGTAGAAAGGAAGTTTTTACACTCTAATCGAAAAATTATTAATTATTTATACTAATCACATACAATACAAAATAATGCAAGGGTTTTTACGACACCGACTATTAATTTGCTTAACTAGTTTAACTAGTTTCACATTGAAAGGGGTATTACCCGGTCGCATGCCTCCACAGATCACAGGTTGTGCTTATTGTTGTGATCTGAAACTGGTTTACATTTGGTCAACTTGCCCATCAAGGAGTTCCCAGCCCCAATTTCGAAATCGAACGAAGTCGAATGTGTATGAAATATGAAATGTATATAATTTGAATTTAATTAGATTTACTTGTCTAACTGCAAATTTGCAATTTATTGTCTTTTACCCGCAATTTCGATAATTCCCCGTAGCAAAAGATCGTTTTTTTATTATGTGTGTTTTTCAGCTCATTTATTTTTGAATTTCCAATATGCAAATTAAAATAATTTCATTAAATTACATTCAACTATTTTCTTTAAATAATAATCATAAAATTGATTATTTTATTATTCAAATTAATTTCACAAAGTATTAATTTTAATTTACACTTTGCAGATTTGCACTGCTTTCAAAATATTCTAAATCTTTTAAAATCTTCTATTTTGGTTTCATTTTACAACTGGCTGAAAAGTGTAACCGATGCACAATGGCTTTTAGTTATTTATTTAGAAACGTATTTATGTTTAAGCCGTAAAGGGAAGGGCCAACTAACAAACTGAATTCCCTAAGCACAACGCATTAAAGCGCCTGACCTAAATTCCAGCGGCGAACGCAGCGCAGTGAAACTAAACAAAGAGATGTGGCAGGGAAAAATGTTTGAGCGTTGAAGCCCAAAAAGCGAAACTAAGGCTTTGACTTCATAAACTATCAAGTTGGACTTTTTTTCTCCTTCTCTGTGCATCTCTGTGTGTGTGTGTGTGGAGATTTTCCTGCTGAGATCTCTACGGCGTTTGTCCAATTGGAATGCACAGCTGCAGTCCACTCCTGATGCTTGTTGTTGCTGCGGCCATTTTTGTTTTTTAATGAGCGCGCCCTTTTTTTAATGCAGCGCTCGCCTAACGTCTAACGGTAAACGTTGAATGGCTCTAAGTCGCTGCTGCTGCTGCTGCTGCTGCGTCGCGAGTCTTGGAAATTGCCTTCGTTCACTTTTCTCACACTTTGTGCTCTGCACAGGGCTTGGCTCTGGAAGCTTCTTTTGTTGGTAGAAAAAAAAAGCTGACGCAAATTTTTTTGTGTTTTTCTTCTTGTGTGCCGCCACGCAGAAGGGGAGAGTTAGACGAAAAACCAGCACAAAGAGTGGTCTCCACTTGAACTCTTCCTCTTTGACTCTCTCACTCTCCCTCTCTCTCTTGTTCTTTGTGCTCTCTTTGCTAGTGTGATTTCCTTTCTCTGTCATACTTATTGATTCTTTTGGCTTTTAATTTTCTGTTTCTATTTGGTTGTCATCTAGTTTTTATGTAGCTGCTATCGGCGTAACGGTAAAGTCCAGCTTATCGTAAAGAAGCTTTTGGCGTTCCTTCGCCTTGTTAATTGCTGAAAGTTACGCTATTCACGGTGATCATCTATCTGTCTGACTGCAAGAACCCAGCTTCCAACCAACCAAGCAGCTAACCAACCAGCAACAAAAGAGACAAGAAAGACAATGCAATAATCATAATTACAAGTTAACCTTAAGAGTGACACAAATCCGGCCACAAGCAGCGACGGCCTCTCGTTCGTTCCCAGCAATTAACTTCAAATGACACAAATGCCACCAAGGCACGCCACCACCACCACCACCAAAGTGAACCACCCGCTTTGGCCTCAGCTTCACAGCTACCCGCCCACATTTGCAAGTGAACGGCAACTTTGATGACGCCCACAATGCGCCAAGCAGCACCGAAAACAGTTGCGGTTCATTTGATCAAAGCTCTATTTTTGCTGTATTTTTGTTTTTTTTTCTCTTTATTTCTCCACAACTAGCATTCCATTGTAGGACTAGGCGAAGCAGCAGTGGAGACATCATCAACTGACAAACACTGGGAGAGTGGAGAGCATGCGCGAGAGCGAAATCTTATTTTGTAATTGCCACTCATCTTTAGTTGTTTATGTGTGTGTGTGTGTGTAGATATGTTGCTGCCATTGTAAATGTACAAATGTAAAGTGCAACGGCTGCGCTGCGCAGCAGAAAATCGCAGTCGACGCGTCAGCTTCATTGAAAAACTGTGTGAAATTTTCAGTCAGCGCA